TTTTTTTTTCCTCTCCTTTTCGACAAGCAGGCCTGCTTGTGACTCTGGTGCATGCGTGCGTGTACCTAGGGGTAAATGGCAATTTTCCAGAGGTAGGAGAGAGGCAGGAGGGAATTAGAAAGGTTCGTCGAGCGGGCTTGCAGGAGGACAGGACCCATGGCCCGAAAATAATTATCAATTATAAATTAATTTCGAATTAACGAGCGAAAACCGGCTCTCCGTGGCGCGCGCACGCCTCCTCCACAATGAAACCCTCCTCCCCGGGGCTAACTCGTTACTACAGTTGTTGCTGCCGCTGCCAGGCCGTTGGTGCCGTTGGTGCCGCTACTACCGGCGGCTAATTAACTATTAATTAAGAGCTTAATTCCAATTATACGTGTTCTTCGACTAATTGGACCCACGAAACACATTGCTGACGTCACACGACCGACACGCGTTACGATTATTCCGTCTGTCGTCCTACTTCTTTCTCGAAAAATTAATTTCACCGTCTAACCATAACGTGTTACTTCGTGTAAATTGAAATACTGCGTACTCTGCTCAACCCATTGCCTTGTAACAACGAGTCAGACTCGTGGTGGAAATTCTGGTGAAGATGTGACGAGAAACTGTTGGGTACATCAGTGACAGAGATTCGTTTTAATTCCGAATTTACCTTTCATTTGTAAGATTGAGAATTGTCGAATTGTAAAGGATATGTAATACATTGGTCTACTGCAAAGATTAATTTTAATTTTAAATATAGTTTTAATTTCAGAGAATTGTCAAATTGTAAAGGATATGTAATACATTGGTCTGTTGCAAAGATTAATTTTAATTTTAAATTTAGTTTTAATTTCAGAGAATTGTCAAATTGTAAATTTAGTAATTTTAAATATAGTTTTAATTTCAGAGAATTGTCAAATTGTAAAGGATATGTAATACATTGGTCTGTTGCAAAGATTAATTTTAATTTTAAATTTAGTTTTAATTTCAGAGAATTGTCAAATTGTAAATTTAGTAATTTTAAATATAGTTTTAATTTCAGAGAATTGTCAAATTGTAAAGGATATGTAATACAGTAGCTTTTGTTACTTCACGCAGTGTTAGAATAATGAATAACTCACGTTTACGTGCGTGGTAAGTAAGAAAGTCATAAGTCAAGGGATTAAGAAGGGGTTGTATACGTTTCTCGACACTAAGAACAGGTCAATGTTTGTGAGTGATTGGAGGACAAACTGTTGGATCGATTGGTTTAATTCCATTGGTGTTATAAAAATACCCGTTTACAGAGTAGGAAACAGGAGTGAAAAATTGAAAATTATTAGAGATATGGCGGCTGCGTGCAATGGCGTAAAACGGTATTTTTGGCGCCGCCCCAAACGCTGGGCATGATTCAACGCGTACGAGTGATCAGAGGCTAAAATTTCCGTTTTTTTCAACACTTTTCGAAGTCATAGTTCTCGACTCACGAGGGAGTGTTTTAGAAAAAAAAATTGCAGCAATGGCAACAGTTTCAAAAAAGTGATCGTGATTTTCATTTAAAAAACCGTACATTTTCTTTCGTTATTCAAAAATCGTTCAATTTACAATATTTGAAAAAGCTCCTGTGAGTCGATGACGAATCTTATTTAGAATATGTGTGCGAAAGATGATGTTAATCGGATGAACGATGAGGCGGTCATCGTGCGCACCGTCTTGAAAAATGCTGTTTCTAGAAAAATGCATTCGGACAGATGTAACTTCGTCAATAATCCAAATTTCGAGTTCATTTTGAGCATAAAATGTTTTCACAATATGTTCCTTCTAAAATATGTAAAAGAAAAAGATATCGTCTTTTTGAAATCGAGACACTTATGTGACTCTTTAGCGCGACTCGTGGTTTGACCCTTTCATAAGCTAAGAAATTCGAAAATATCAGGTACGCGACTATCGAAGTTGGTACACGTTTATTTTTGACGAGTTAAATTCATCCTACAAAATTAAAGGCTGTAAAGATATTGATTGAAATAATTCGAGTAAGACTCTGTATTTGGTTCCACGATTAGGAAAAAGATGTATGAAAAATTGAACGAAAGAATTTAGTCTGCGAGCCGTATTCTCGTATCAAAGATGTTATATCGAACCATGTTCGCAAAATGAAGTTAGAGTTCGTTCAGAGCAAACTAGGGAAATAATTATAACGAAAAGGGTTAACCCTCCGCAACGCCACGTGACTTGAAAGTTACACATGCATATATTTATATTTTACATATAGTCTTCTTTTCTTTATTGCTGTACAATTGTATCGTCGCGTTATTGTATTATTACCAGTCAATATCTCTGTAGTGATCATTAATTTCTACTTTTGAATACGTTAAAAACTGTAAAACTGTAATATTTCTTCTGATAAACAAGGAAAAATCGGGTTGCAGAGGGTTAAATGCAAGCGAAGATACGAAGGATTAGCCGTGTAAGGATAGTAAGTAGATGTAACTCGATTTGAAACACCTTTCAGAAAAAAAGCTCCTTTGAAATTTCGCTTTCGCGAATTTGTAACCCTTGTTTCGCTGCGCCCGCGGAAAACGAACGTGGCTTTCCACTTGCTCTTTGATATCCTTTGTGATATCTTTCTCCACTTTTTTCCCCGATATTTCAACATCAGGCAAATTTGCAGCCGGTGTTGACAGAATCGGAGAATTGCGTTGGGATAAATTGTTACACGGGAGGAAAATGAAGTCCTTCAGCTTTGGAGAAAAAAAAATGAATATACAGTATATATACACGTGTGCAAGTGAAAGCTAGTTTTCCGAACGTGTGAACATCGAAAAAGCATGAAGAAGTCTGGCAGAGACGAAAGAGGAATTCCGACGAATTTCCAGACTCGAGCCGTGAATGTGAACGCGCGACATAGAACACATGGCACGCGAAAATAGCGAAGGCTGCTTTTAAAAAGCATTGTTAATCCTTCCTTGTTCTTCTCGCTCTTTCTCTCTCTCTCTCTCTCTCTCTCTCTGCTTTCACGGCTTCGTTCGCGTTGCATTTCACCGCTTTTTCCAAAACACTTCCTCAAAGACAAAAGAAGGAATAACGCAGGTCTCATCGGTGGCGTTACCTCAAAAGAGAAGGAAACGGTATCTGAAATGAAAAACTCGTCAGTTTTGACTTCGAAACGTATTGTGCTACGTCTCCAAATGCTGCTCCTTTTAAACAACATTTTTTTTCAACGTTCATTTCGTTAGAGATCCTCTAATTAAGCCGAAACGAACTCCATTACCTTTAATATCGTAGCTTAGATTTTCAGTTAAAACGA